TTAAACGATGGCAAAACAGTACTTACCTTTTCATTGCAGAAACAGCTGAAACCAATTCTCCCTAATGGGCAAATGAGGAAATACTGGAGGCTTTTTTTTTTTTTTTTTTTTTTTTTTCCCCCCCCCCCTTTTTACAAACACACATATGCCCCCCCCCCCCCCAGGATTTTTTTTTTGATGTGCCACTGTACAGAGAGCTGCACAAAATATGGGGCTTGCTAATTAACTCTGTTCCTCGAATTGAAGTGCCTTACTGCAAGCACAAAGCTCCGAGCACAGACATCTTTTATGATGAACTAGAGCCTCTGAAGAGGAGAATCTGAACGTGACGTCAATAGCTGATAACTGACGCAGCCTTGCAAAGGAGTCTCAGGCTGGCTCCTTGCAGCCTGCAAGCCCTAATGATTCTATTTTTTCCCCAGTCCCCCCTCGTAGTGAATTACTAGAACGCAAACACACACACACACACCCTTTTTTTTTTATATCCATATATATATTTATAGATCCTTTATTCTCCAAACAAAGGATTTTTAAGTTGTGGGGGGGAAGGCACTGGGTGGGAAGAAGAGAATTTATTTTTGGATTTATTTTTTTTTTAACAAAAAACAAGCCTTCTTTGTGCAGGGTGCGATTCACTCTATGAAAGCATCTCTGTCTCTCGGCAAAGCGAGCATCCCTGCCTGAAACCCACATATTTGTGCATGATGGCAAACTGGTGCATGGTGGTTGTTGTGGTTTTTTTTTCCCCAAGCCCCACTTTATAAAGACACTGCAAGAAGACACAGACACAATAATGCTTGCAAGGCAACAGGCAGAGAGGCACAGAGACAGACTCAATACAACTGTGGATTAGGGGTTTGTGCAATAGGACAGCATGGAAGGCGGTCAGTTTGGGTTGTTTTTGATTGTTGGGTGGTTGTGTTTTTTTTTTTTAATTCTCTGCAATGATGCACCTAAAACAACTGTGGATGGTGGTGCAGAAAGAAGCTAGGGTAGGGGGGTATGTGGGGA